GGCTCAGGGTTGACTCAGCCTTCCATCCTTCCGAGGTGGGTAAAATGAGGACCCGGATTGTTGTTGGGGGCAATATGCTGACTCTGTAAACCGCTTAAAGAGGGCTGAAAGCCCTATCAAGCGGTATATAAGTCTAACTGCTATTGCTATTGCTATTAACCCCCGTTATTGCCTCCAGCCAATTTTTGATCCTTTTCCAACCCTCTGCACTATGCAGGGGAAAAAACCATTCCAAAGTTGTGGAGCTGAAAGGCACTCTTAAAGATCACCTAGTCCAGGGGTCGGCAAACTTAAACACTCAAAGAGCCATTTGGACCCATTTCCCACAGAGAAGAAAACACCGGGAGCCACAAAGGTCCTAACCGGAAGCCCCCGGTTCAATTCTGGAGCTGACCGGAAGTTCAGTTCCCCCACCATAGAGTCTTCTCCTAGCGCGGCATCCTTTTTCCTCTACCTGTCATAACCAAAAGCCCTATCAATTGTGGAGACAACTGGAAAACCCTCCCTTGCCATAGAGTCTTCTCCTGGCGCATTGTGCTTCTCCCCCCCCCCCCGGCCACCGGAAGCTCCTCTCAAAATTGTGGCACTGACCGGTGGCGGAGCCGCAGCAGAGGGAAGAAAGAGCCACATGCAGCTCCAGAGCCAGTTTGCTGACCCCTGGCTTAGGTGGCTGCCGCCAGAAGCTTAAATGCCCTGACTGAAGCAATTTGCCGCACTAGGAGGGGGAAATGGCTGCTCAGGTGGCTCCTTCCACCTTCCCGCCATTGCCGCAGCTTGAATGCCCCGATCACGCTCTCCCTCTCTCTCATACACACACACACACAGAGTTCTGAGAGCTCCCCCTCCCCCTCCCCCTCTCTCTGTCATGCGACCGATGACTGAGCTGCAGCAGAGGGAGGAAAGAGCCACATGCGGCTCTAGAGCCGCAGTTTGCTGACCCCTGGGCTAGTCCAACCTTTGCGCTTCCCAGAAAACAATTCCGTCACCCTTGAGAAGTGTCCGTCTGTCTCCTCAAAACCACCACAGGTGGTGAACTCCCAACGCCTAGAAGCAAAGTTGCGTCATCTTGTACAACTCCCGGCAATGAGAAGTTTCTCCTTAAACCCAGAGAAGCGTGCCAGATGCCAAATTCACCAGAAACCACCACAGTCCTTCTGGGCACCAAGAAAACCTCAACAAGAGACAGAAAAGAGAGTCCTACATACCCCGATTGCCACATTCAGTTCTGCCACCGTCACCTGCTTCGCCCGCTCCACCGCCTGGACTACTTGTTGCTGGTGCTACCGAAAAAACAAAAGGGGGGTGAGAAATATGATTATCATTTACAAAACTTTGGATACTCTGGGTCTATTTTAAATCATCGTCGTACTGGATTTATCTTCCTCTTTACGTCCAAGATGCCCAGAATCACTTCATAGACTAGAACTCCCAGCCTCCTGGTGATTGGCTTAAAGTAACCCCGCCGGCATTCATGCCTAAGGCGGGATTAGAACTCACAGCCTCCTGCTGATTGCCTCAAAGTCACCTGACAGGCATTCACCCCCAAGGCAGGACTAGAATTCACAGTCTCTTGGTGACTGGCCCAAAGTCCTCCAGCCACCTTTCATGGCTAACGCAGGATTTGAACTCATGATTTCTCACTTTGTAGCCTGGTGTTTTAATTACTGTACCGAACTAGGAACCTGCATGCTGAGTTTGGACCAGGTTGGATCTGGGACAAAACCCAGCAATAAAGTAATTGTTTCAAGAATGTATTTGACAATAAACTTGAAATTAAACAAGTCGAAAGCCACCAAGCTGACTTTTGTGCCTAAGACAGGACTAGAACTCCCAGTCTCCTCATGATTGGCCCAAAGTCACCCAGAGAGGTTTCATACCTAAGGTGAGACTAGATCTCCCAGTCTCCTGGTGATTGGCCCAAAGTCACCCAGCTGCCTTTTGTGCATTAGGTGGGACTAGAACTCACCGTCTCCTCATGATTGGTCCAAAGTCTCCCAGAGAGGTTTTATACCTAAGATGAGACTAGAACTCCCAGTCTCCTGGTGATTGGCCCAACGTCACCCAGAGAGGTTTCATACCTAAGGTGAGACTAGAACTCCCAGTCTCCTGGTGATTGGCCCAAAGTCACCCAGAGAGGTTTCATACCTAAGGTGAGACTAGAACTCCCAGTCTCCTGGTGATTGGCCCAAAGTCACCCAGAGAGGTTTCATACCTAAGGTGAGACTAGAACTCCCAGTCTCCTCATGATTGGTCCAAAGTCACCCAGAGAGGTTTCATACCTAAGGTGAGACTAGAACTCCCAGTCTCCTCATGAT